TGACTTAGCAGCCACGCTCGTCTAATTTGTTGTTCTCCTCGTGGCTCGTGGCGTCTTCAGTCAGTAGATTTTCCTCTTTTTACGTTCTCGAAGTCCTCTTTTTGGGCTTGAAAAGGACGCAGAGAACATGGAAGCAATTTAAGGAATGAAAGATAGCTATTTGATTGGTGCTTAAGGTGGGTTTGATTGACTGTGAAAATTATCAACGATATATAGTACAACGTTTCACGCCAGTGACTGCGCAATTTATTTACGTTCGGTTTAGTGTTCGGTGTAGGGCTATTTCATTGCCCTTTTGAAGCCATTCTTTCAATGGAAAAGTATACTACAGTTGGTAAATGAAATAGCTGTTGGCGAGGATCGAACGTCGGTTCGATATGTTTGAAAATACATTATCGATTTCAAAGGCGAATACAGCTCTACCCATCAATTTAAGTTTGAAATTAGGCTTATTTGCAGTTTTCTATTTTGTTGTTGTTGTTTGTTTTTTTTATTAACTATTGTTTTCGGGAAGAAAAAATGTGTGTCCACATATAACATTAAGATGAACAGAGGTTGAAAATTTTGAGTCAACCTTATTTTCTTGTGGTGTTTCGAAACCGGTTTCCAAGTTGCCTTATAATTATATTTTTATGTGCAGGTGAATGCATTTCCCAGCATCGTAGATTCTTATCTTATGTAATTCCTAATACTAAATACTAATACTAAATAATAATAAAGTAAAATAAAAAACGGTTCCGATATTCCTCCGGTAAAATTATTATTGTTTTTCTGGCAGCGCGGTGCTGACTCTGGATCATGAACGCTCGGTCGCACAGTGAGGTCAACATTCGTCTAGACATTGGAAAAAACCCGCATGCACACTTGAAATCGTCCGCGGAAAAATTCTTCCATCTAGGTTTCGGTGGTAGAAATAAGGGGAGTGTTTATCGCTGTGGAGGAGTTAAAAGTGAAACGGTCAGGTCGTAAAAAACGAAACATTGCTTATCTAGTTCATATTGATGATTTTCCCGGCCAATCTCATTTCTGGGTGTAGCTTGGGCAACATTGTTTGAAATGTTAGGATTATTATTTGTGTAGTAATCATACCCCACCAAGAAACATGTTCCATGTACACCTATGTTTGATGTCTATTAAATAACAAGCTGTGTTAGAGATCTGTTATGATATGAGATCAAAGCATACCGGTATGCGAAACCGAAATTGTGGTGTGAGCAAAGGGAAAAAACTATTTACCTTGTTTGGCACTCTGTGCTTTTCATCATGATCAGTCCTATTTGTAAAGAATCTTGTGTGACTTAAATTGTATAAGAACATCTTTTTTCTTTAGAAATTAAATATAATTATCTTTTATATTTTTGAATTTATGATATATTTCAGTCAATATCAACGTCATTGATAATGCACTAGATCTATGAACTGTATTTGCCTGATTATTATACAACTCACTATCTCTTTTCTGATTGGCTGAAAGCGTACAGTGAATTTTCGAAATCGTTGCTGGTACATCATCTAGCTGCAGATTATACAATAATCATGTCAAGGACACTCAAGATCACGGGTGATCATGTCATGTATGACCACGGTGCATGATTTCTAAGGGTAATAGGCCATTTGCACTAAGAGGTCATGTGACATCGTTTTTGTGAAAATGAAAGTTATATGATTTTCCTTCGAAAAACGATTAGTGGGTCATATCTTAAACAAAATAATAGTAATTTGGTTTTTCAAACCTGCACCGTTTTCTTAAAATGAGTAAGTTCGTAGCTGGTCACGTGACCAAAATGTGATTTTTGAAATTATTAATTATCTCCTTCTGAACACAAATTTTGCAGTTAAACTTCAAGGAAAATGTGGAAAACATGATATGGTAACGTTTACAGCACATCTGAGCCTAACTATCAGAAGTTTAACAAGATATAAGCAAAAAGTAGTTTTGGCCGCCATGTTGGAGGGCAAGAGTATGCCCTCCAACATGGCGGCCAATACAAATCATACCACTTTGTTGAAAAATTAAAGTGCCATAAATTATCTCCCTTAAATGCGTTTCCTCTAAAATTTCGGGTGTAAGATAATTTTTAGGTGCTCTGTCAATTTTTGGCATCAGCAAGATTCCAACTCATTGTTTAAAGGAAGCATTGGTCACGTGACCCCTTAGTGCAAGTGGCCTATCATGACAAGTTCGCACGCTTTGTGTTGCTTGCCATCAGCGAAGAAGAAAAAGCTAGACTTCCAGGTTTGCTTTGTTGACCGAGCAAGACATCGAAAAAATAGTTGAACATGAGAACACGAAAAGGTCAACAAAGGTGGCAAAGTAGCTGTTTGCTGATTATGTGAAAGAGAAAAAACTGAGGGAACTTGAGGAAAAGAAAGAGTTGGCACAAACTGTGACAAAGAAAGGATTTGTTCAATGTATAATAAAACAATTAGATTCGGTTTTTGTGATATCCAGAATAATCAAGGTCTTGGTAAGGGTTATCAGCTGAAGCCCAGGGGTGGGCTTCGGCTGATAACCCCTACACTGTACCTCGATCTTGATTATTCTGGATATCACCAAAACCTCATCCAATAATTGTTTATAATGTGCCTTAGTGTATAATATGCACCCAAAAATTTCACAACAT